CACACACACACACACACACACACACACACACACACACACACACACACACACCTGGGCTTCCCTGAAGCCCAGTGTAGCAGCTCACTACCACATCCCTGACCTCCCCATTCCCTTATTCCCAAAGCAATCTGAGCCCATGTTCTTGCTATCTGATAAATAGATTCTTCATTTTCTCTCTGTGTCTATTCCCACTTGTCCCTCTCAAAAGCGTCCCCTCATTCCTCAGCCACCACAGCAGCCTCTGCCCCCTTCCTCCAGCAGACTCTGTGCCTGCCCTGTGACTGAAGCTCCCTGGGGGCATCTTCCAGGTTGACAGGCCACAGAGACTTCTAGGAACTTACCCTTTCTAAACAAGCCCCTGGAGCTCTAGGGGTTCCCCAATCCTCAGGCAAGTGAGCTACACTTTTTAACCTGAAACGGTCTTGTTTATCAGGTTTGAATATAGGGCTTCATATTAGGTTAACCTGATAGAGGGTCCATGGCAAAAACTTAATAAACTCCAATGAAAACAACTTACAAACTACTAAATGATGGACAAAAGTCCCGAGCTCTCTAGTGGAGAGCCTGGAATAAAGCAAGAGCTCGGAAAGAATTCACCAAACTAATCTGAATGCAACCTCAAATCTAAGGTCCTCAATGACCTGGCCCAGCCTACATTTTTCTCCTTACATCTCCCAATTGCCCAGCATGAATCCTAGGGCTTGGTATTCCTGAAGCACATGGTGAATGTCCCCATCTCTTGCTCCTGCTGGTCCTGTTAGCTGGAATGCCATCCCTCCTCCCAAATCATAGACCATGGAAATCTTATCCCTAATGGGAGGCTCCACTCCCAAGGTCCAGAGCTAATTGTCAGTGAGGCCATCCTTGATTTCCCCAGTGGAATGTGATCCTACCACCCCTGCACCCCTGGAGCCTGTCCTGATTTATGGTTAAGGGCCCTGAGTGGAGGGGTGGGGGACAGGGCCCATGACATGTTGCTGTTCTAAGCTAATTTCAACTGCCTGCTGAGGTAAGGCAAGCAGCGTAAGCGAGCGTGGCTAGGTGGATGGGGCCTCCAGTGAAAAGGAACACGCACGCCAAGTGCACAGGGGCGCTTCCCTAACCCTCTTCCTCAGGATTCTTTTGGTGACTTGGACAAGCTTAAGCAGAGGATACCTAGTTTTTGGCTCTGTAACCCAACAGTAAGAAGAGCTGGGGTGTGGCTGGGCCTCGCTGATGACCATA